ATCAACAGAAAAATGGAAAAAGCAAAAAAAAAAGGTTATGTCAGGGCAAGAGTGCCCATCGTATAAAACAACATCGGCAGTGTTTAGTGTCTGCCGGCTTGATTTCTTCACCCATCAGTCATACACAACTCTTGGGTAGATCTATACGAAAGAAACGTGATGTCAGCATTCAATCTGGCTGCATCTTCCTAAGCCATGTGTACATCGTTTCTGTGTCTGTGCAGTCGAGTCCTACAAACGGACAACGGTTTCAGGGGACATTCGCAGAACATTTCTGTTTGACCTTGTTTCATTTGAGGATCGGGTCTCCGACCCCCAAGTAGTCGGCTGTACCTCGCAGACGAGACGATGTAGGATGGATATTAATTTCTTGCGCAAGTAGTCACAAGTGGAGTATCTATATATTATGTGATTTATTTTCTTTCCTTTTTGTCATGTTTCCTAGTCAATGATTGAATAATGTTGTATTTACTTGTAATTAGTAGAGAGCAGAATCGGACATGTTACAGACATGCTTAATGGGATGTAGCGCGAACCAGTTACATTGGCATGTCGTGCTCACGTATGTTTAGTCTTAACTAACAACCAACACAATGTAATGTATTAAAGAAGTCTTGATTGAGTTTGTGAGTTGAGTTAAAGCAGACTTTCTTGTATGTTATACTCACACAGACATCAAACATCACATAAGTCTGTACTCTGTAGTTTAAAATGCATGGTAGATATTAAGAATCACAATATGTATGAATGGTTCATAAGGTTGCATTATCTGTAGAAATATATACCGTACCTTTTCCGTAGTGTTTATTTTAGTGCTTTTTACGACTTCTCCCAACCAGATATCTCTGTAGATTGTGAGTGAGGTTGTGATTTTAAGAGCCTCTTTCTATTCTTATAGGGAATTGGGCTGGATCAATATGTAGCGATGCCCAGAATGATATGCTTATATACAGTGAAACTTCAAATAGGCAACCAATCAGCTGTAGGGTAAATCTAGAAAAAATAGTCAATGCATGCAATTTATTTGTGTAGTACTGTTTGTCTTTTGCACCTTAACACTCGTCACAATGGTCTTAACATTTTGCATACCCTCATTGCCGGTACAAATAGAAGTCAAATTATACTTATATAGCATATTTTTTTGAGCATTTCAAAGTTTTCATGAAGATTTTCTTTCGGGGAATGGATTCATAATCATTTGTGGACTGCATGCAGCTGTGCTGATGCATCCAGATTCTTGTACAGTAGTTTTCAAATACTCTTTAAGGAATTACTATATACTTGTTATTGAAAATTTTGGAAGAGGAATTTTTCGAATGGAATATTTTGGATTTTTGTTATCTCTCTCCAATCAAATGTACATTTTTGTAGATTTAGAATTGACATTTGCACCATTTTACAATTTTTCATTCTTATGCAGTCGGGCAACCTCCACTTGTGACTTCTTGTGTATTGCCGTCGTGAAATTGATTTATTTCACGCATCATTCATAGAATCGATCTAGCATGTTTTTTTGTTTTAAGTGATTGTGAATTCCAAATGATAACATGGTATACGAGCATTTGGTTGATGTGAAATAATGCCTTAATTACATCTTATGAATGTTGAGTTAAAGGGCGATCCAACCCTTCAATTGTATGAAAGCATGAAAACAAGATAAGCAGAACAGTGAGAGTTTGAATTACTGATACAGCCAATTTGAAGAGCCCATACCTCTATAGTGATTACATCCGTCAAAAATTCATAACTTTCTTAGTTTTTGTCCGATTTCGTTCAAACTTTTGCCAGTCTGCTCGTCTTATTTTTCTGCTTTCCTTGGCTCCTAGAGTAGTTTGCTAGCGCGGTTGGATTTCCCTTTAACGACACAGATACACACTACCTCTACAGTAAGTCAGCAGGTCACCGACTGACCCACGTCAATGGAAGGACGTATGACATTGCAGTATCAGCGACTGACTGCTGCATGGTGAATAACACGGGTGTTAGATATATATATATTTCCATGTGGCACGCGCAGTCAGTGCTCAAAGCCATTCACTCTTTCATTGGTGCGGGTCAGTGGAATATTTGCTTTGAAGCTTGTAAGCAGAAGAATTCTTTACTCAGAAAACATTGATATCGTCGTCATATGCCAATAACCCATTATGTTCATTGATTGAATCTGGAATGTGTCTTACAAAATTCTAGTTTTGTGGGTAGCATGGGGTAAATGTCTTTGATACACGACTGAATGGCTGGTCTACATTCCATCATTCAAAAACACAAAGGCTGTATGTTTTAGTGTGTATTTAATTTTCTAAAACCAACTGCTGCTGTCGAATTATTCCATTGCGTTCTGTTATCCGTGAAGAAGAACATTTGGAGGGAAGCCGTGATATAGTTGGAATGCCTTTAAAGGCTGAAGCCATTCATACGTTTGTTGTGTTAGCTCACATCTACCAGCGTAAGAGGATGTAAAGTTATCGTTTATAACAAGATTCAGAATACCACTGCAAAAAAACGTTTTGAAATCATTTTTCTTGTAAATTTTAAACTGGTTATGATCTGTGTGTTTCATTCACAGAGGTGGTTGTTGCAGGTATAGTTGACATACATGTATGAAAGCAACAAACCATCGCTTTGGAGTATGGTACATACAATGACAGTTATTGTTTCCTGGTAAGCTAGATCGAGTTCTATCCACTGTAAACCTGGACCTGTAAGGATAAGAAACTCATTTCTTGTTGAAACCTTAGGAGTACATTGAGACATAAACAAATTCTGGGTTTTTATTCTGTTACATGTCCGGTTAACAGATTTAAATGTTGTATAATCATAAGAAAAAAATGGTTATCTAGTAAACATTCATTTACCGCCCGTTTGCCATTTGTTCATTTACACATTTTTTTTTCTGTTGTTTCCGAAACATTGGAAATAAATTATTCAAGTTAGAAACGCCCTTCTGTCTACAGATGTGATTTTGTTTTGTTTCTGTTTTTGTTTAGTTTTATTTTATTTAATTCTCACATTTTATTTATGATAGCCCAACTGCAGGTCTGGAAAAAGAATTGCTTTTTGAATAGGCAAATTTACATTTCATTTTTAAACTTTTATTCTTCAAATAAAGGGGAACATACTTTTATCTATCGAGGGATAGGGTTGAAAATCGATTCTTAGAACAGGGAAATGGTGTTCACCTTTTAAATCTGTGCCCAAATTTTATGTTTTTATTTTTAAGTAAAATATAATGCTAAAAATTATGCCACTGACTGATTTTTGAATATCAGGGCACAAGTTTTATGTTTTAAGGGCCCACCAGTGTTTTTATGCATGTTATCAGAACCTAAATTTTGGCTGAAATGTTAGTTTGGTGTAGAAAACACACTGAACAACACAATAAAATATGGTATAGGGTACAGAAGACCACAGGGGCTGGGAGTTGGTATTTAAACCAAAATTAGACACCTATATTTGTGGTGAAATATGGGGTAATCTAGTAATCTAGTAAAAAAAAACATACCAAGCTTGTAAATTCCCTTTTATTGCTACCAGTATGTCTATTGAGCATGTAGATTCTTTTCAATACAAATTAAAATTAAAAGAGAAAATTAAATTAACAGGCTTTGTTTTGCAAAGGAATCGTGAAATCATACAAGGGAGTCAGTGACAGCCAATAGTAACAACACAAGACTACGAGACGAGCGATGTTGGTTGATTGGTCGCTTTTATTCACATTTCATGCAAATTTAAAGTATAATACATTTTGCAAAACATTAATAAATCAACTGGTAGCTGCAGAGTTATGAAATAAATTACCTAGTCATCTTAAGCAGGTTCATACAGTAGAAAATTTCAAGATATGCGCTATATAAGAGTGGTTTATTATTATTACGTAACAATCCACTGACCAAATTACCAATTTGAGATGGTAGCAATTTCATTTCATACAAACTTTTAATATTTGCCCCAAAACGAAATATCTGTATTTGAGAAATATGTTAGCAATATCACATAATAATAATCTGGATTTATATAGCGCTTAATACAAAATACCCTCTCTAAGCGCTTTACAGATATTATTAACCAGGTCCTCGGATTCATTCACGCACAATGTGCACCATCTCCACTCCCTGGGGAGTATTCCTACCATATGGTCACCGTGAGGGCATATGGCAATTACTAACAAAGGTTTTCATCATCCTACCAGGTCCCCATTTCTCTCCTAGGTATGGAGTGCCAAAAGACATTAGTGCCATGTCTGGGATTGAACCCACGACCTTTGCATTTCACGTCAAGAGCTTAAACCACTCAACTATGACACCTCTCCTTCTAGTCTAGAGCAGTCTAAAATCCCTTTTTTAGGGAGTACATATTCACTGGCTTTAGCATGGCTGCCATGATGGCGCTCTAGCATATTAAGCAAATATCAATATTTGTTTTATATCCCACATCGGCAATAAGGTCTATTTAAAGTGAATTTTACATAATTAAAACAATTTTGCAGACAGTTTAGCTTCAGCTAGATTTTACAAAGCACAACAGGCATACATGTAATACAGTCGATGCGCGCTCATTTGACATTGACGTCGACTTTGACATTTCGCGTAACCTACTTTGCTATGCTTATTCAATGCGCAAGTCGCGCAAGTGGGGCAGCAGCAAAAAATTACTTTACAAAAAGACCTATCTCAGGTAGATAGTACTTATCTATACCTTTTTCGTGCTCTGTACAATCGCAATGCAAACAACTGTACATGAGGGATATAAATAATAATAATAAAACGGTGGTCATAAAGTGCTTTCCACCAAAGTTTCTAAGCGCTATTAAGCGCTACTAAGCATTTCAAGGAATTAATTCATAACAGGTACCAATTTATCTCACCTGGGTGGAGTGTGGAAAATGTAAATTAATGTCTTGCCAAAAGACATTATGTTAGGGATCAGATGAAATAAAGAACCGCATTATTTCTCAACAGCCCACAACCATACTTCATTGAATTGAACTCAACATAAACTGGTAATACTGGTGTACTTTGCACTTTGATCTCAATATCTTTAACATAAATATATACACAGTATTTCATGATGGGGATAATCATCTATGGCGTAATGTTTTCATACAAATGCTCCTCACTGTTTTGTGAACTATATTTATATGAGCCTACATATACGTAACTGATTTGTTCAATTGAAACAAAATGCATTACCACTCTAATTTGATACTTTAACTCATGAGAAAGACATCATTCGCTATGTATGATAAGCTGCCATCTGCATTTTTTCTACTCTATATAAAATTCTGCAATTCCATCAGTTGACTGCAAATGTATTTTCCAATAAATCATTACTAATAGTACCACTAATAATACTACTATTACTACTAATACTACTGCTGCCATAACTACTATTACCACTACTACTTTTAACTATATATTCTTTTTGGAACTATAAGGGACCAAAATTATCACTAATTTATTCAAATAACAAAATTGAAGGGTCATAGTCTTCAAAGAGTTATGTTTTTCTTTCATTCCTTTCATTACAGCGTTACCTTTCAAAATCTACAATTAAAAAAATTCCCTTTGAAGGAAAGAACAATTGATATCCCTCATCAAAACATTTATCATTGATTGGTGAAGAGCAAGGTCCTCAGGATTAGCCTATGTATGGAAAGGGTCTGTCTAATCAGGGTTGTACAGTGAAACCTGTCTATAAAGACCGCTCCAGGGAAACATGAAAAGTGATCTTTATAGGCAGGTGGTCTTTATGTGAAGGTTCCTTTAGTACATGTTTCAAGGAGAAACCATATATGAGGGACACAAAGAATGTGGTCTTTACAGACAGGTGGTCTTTATAGACAGGTAATCTTTCTATACAGGTGGTGGCTATAGCAGGTTTGACTTTTTCATCAACCGAGAAGACTAGAGTTTTTCCCAGTCTGAGCTGTTACTGTCCGACTTGTCTTCTAAGGGAGATGCATCGTTTGGATATAGTTTGGCGTAGCGTCCTAGAGTCCAGATGGGGAAGATATTGCGATAGTTGGTGTAGCTGATAGCGCACGACTTGTTGAATACACCATTGATGTTCTCCTATAAAGAAAGCAGGCAGAAAAGGTTTACCCAATCTTGATAGCAGAAACAAGTATGTGCGAAAGAAAAAAAATTGAAAACAAAATGTTTTCAAGAAAAAACGTACGACTGTAATTTTGAGAAAAAAACAGAACAATTCCAAAAAAAGTCTCTAAGAGACTAGACAGCATTTCTTGGTTGGCCTACAAGTTTGCTGTGTGTAGACTTGTACACCTATTAATGGTATTTACACCAAGTCTGGTGTCAGCAATTTATGACCTTCTGCACATGGAAACTGATGACCTTCTCCCTTTTAAACACTAATTCTGTCCCATAATAGGAAACCTACAATGTTGTAATAATCTCTTTTGCTGTAATAATAATAATAATAATAATACATACAAAGCGCATAATAAACAAAAGTTTCTCCATGCGCTGTACAAGCATGAATGACGAGAAATATAATCACACAAAAGGAATCAACACAGAGAAATAAACTAATCTTATAACTACTAAAATTACTAACTTAACATGTAGTAATGACATGAATAAATCTTGAGAGAGATAAACTCCTAGTTCCTACCTGGGGCCAGTCTCCATTCTCAATTTGTCTTGACATGATGAGCTGTATGCCACGATCCATCACTCTACGGTCAGGGTACCTACAGGGATATAAGGATATATACGGAATACAATCAATTGATTTTCATGTATGTGTATGTAGTGTCCTTATAAATATATAGTACAAGGTGTCACATTGCTTTACAGAGTTCAAAGCAATCTAGTTAGGTACGCAATATAAGTCTAAATGCTAACTGTACATCCGAGTACAGTATATCAAAACACTGGTGGGCCGCCACTGGGCACCTAAAACATAAAACTTAATTATTAGTATTTACTTCAGAATCTGCATTTTTTGTAAAAAGGTGAACACCATTTTCCTATCGGAGCCATCTGTGTACCTAAGTAATCTTATGTTATACAACTTAATCTTTTACAATGAATTGTCTGTTTGGGGCTAGAAGGACATTAAATCATTAAAAACAGAGTTAACGTCCTTCTGGCTCTGATCCGATGATGAAGCAGGAGATTTTCAGACCCATCCCATAAACGCCTAGCAAAGAAGAAAAGGTGGACATATCATGGCACATAAACTACTGCAGTTTTTACAGCGCGATATGTGAGCAAGGCTTGAGAGAATTAACTACCTAAGGTGACTACAGCCATTTAGATCAACAGCCCACAAGACCACATGACAGTCTTGAGGGCCTTGAAAACTATTGACCCTACTGCAAATACAATATTCAACAGTATAGATGGGGACCTTCCTCCCACACTGCGCAGGTCAGCACATGCGCAGATACAATACTGGGGAAGACGATTGAGATAAGGTTTCTTCCAGCTTCCAATGAGAATGTTTAGCAGTACTTGTCAACTTTTTCCATATTTTACTAAACTATTGTTCAGGTTTCATGAGCTCCCCCAACGATTTGATGTGATCTATGTAGGCACAATCATAATCTCTTACTTATAGTTTTTTTTGTTCTGAAACTATAATTTCTAACAGACTTTCATATTAATTAATTCTCAACTCATTGTATTTGTATGGAAACCGTGCCTTTGCACAATATACCCATCGCTATACCCATATACCTCTATGGTCAAATACTGTAGTTGCGGTAGTGGGAATTTTCATGAAGGTTCACAAGAACAACACTGTCGTGTCTTGTGGGCTGTCGTTCTAAAGGCTGTTGATCTACTATGGTGTGCCCAGCAAGGCATAGCATGTAAGACCAAGCATGTGTGTACCTGACTGCCATAAGACCTAGCAAGGCCCAGCATGTGTTGATAACTTGTGATGTCTCACACTGGACGTAGCGTCGCTCCTCGCACGACTCAAATTTCTCTCCCCATCCTCCATCTTCCATCTGCTTAGAAACCAAGAACTGACAAGCTTTCTTCACTTCACTGCTAGCAAGACTGCGAAAAAAAGAAAAAAAGCAATTAAATTTCTCTTCTCTTAACTCGCTTTGATGATGAACTTATTGCTTGAAATGGAAGGCAATATGATAGATTTACAAATGTTTGTGTTGTATTTGAATTTCAAACAAGCACATAATTGAGTATTATACAGAGGGTCCCAAATGGTCTGTTATGTTGAGGTCTATAATAAAATCATATCTGGAAATTTGACTAAATGAGCAATACCGTATTTGCCGGCATAAAGGCCGCAGTATTTTTGGAAGAGAAAATATCAAAAAGTTGGGTTGCGGCCTTAGCGGCGAAAGAGTAATAAAAAAAAATAAAAAAAATTGCAAGTCAAAACCATGAAAAGCAGCACGAATTTGTACATATGGGACAACAATGAAAGGTGATGGACATTTCTAGAATAACCGTCTAGAATAACACATGTCTTACCGACAATTATGTGTTATATTTTTTAAATGAAGGGCAAAGTTCTGTCAATCTCGTAAATAAAATTCATAACTTACTAACCAAACTCTACTGGTAGATCTAGATAAGTTTTTGCCATAGCTAAAAGCAACCTCAATCCTCTCAGTCTCAGCTCGCGTGAGCAAAGCTATATGGCGTAATAGGCCTACAAAAGAGTAAGCTGCCAGAGAAAGCATCAGGGCCGGGATTGTCGAGCGGTCTAAGGCGGTGGTTCAGGTCGCTATATACATTTGTGTGCAACGGTTCATATCCCGCCTCCGACAAATTTTTTTATAATTTTTTTTATCGCCGGCAAATACGGTAGACCAAATGGAAATTAGACCATGACTATAAGACTAAATGGTCATTAGACCAAATGAAAGTAGATAACATGATTATTGGACCATTTGGATAGTAGATGAGCTCTGGGTGTTGAACATATGGGAACAGACCAATTGGGAAGTAGACAAACTTGTTGTAGACCAACCGGCAATAAACCTATTTCTCTATCCAGCAATGATTCTTGTAAAGATAGGAAGGTAATATGATCTTACTCTTTGTCATATCTAAGCCCCATGGAGCCAAATCCTTCCAGACCAAACCAGGCAGCGTATGTGAAACAGACTCCCCACGACCTGAAAGAAATTTATGTCAAAAATACTACGATCATATCAAAGCTTGATAAAATATTGCACTCACAGAAATTTTACAAACTTCAAGGGTTTTAAATCTAAAACCATGTAAAAATGAGCAGTTAATGTACAGGTGTATGTGTGCAACATGTATCTCAAGTGACCTGTGTCAATGAATGTCAAAACAACAACCTACAATAATATGTGTATGCCAAATATCTTTATGCCTCCGCAAGCACAACACTTATGGTTCTGAAGCTTTTTATTTGATCTACAGTGCTTCTCTCTACCCAGGTGTTAAATGGGCACCTAGCTGGTAGGATACATACAAACATCAATGTGGTTGAATGGGCACCTAGCTGGTAGGATACATACAAACATCAATGTGGTTGAATTGGCATGTACGGTATGCGCTTGTGAAATGGTACCTGGCAGGAATACTCCTCAGGGAGCTGCACATGTGCACTTATCAATTGTGGTAAAGTGTGGTAAAGGCTGGATTATTAATGATTACTATGCAAAGCCTTTAGAAACGTAGTGATAAGCACCATACAATTTTGACTATTACTATAATCATTAACATTTTAATAAATAAATTTATAAAAAAAATCATACATTAAACAAGTTGTTCTCAAGACAGTTATCACTTAGCCAGTGGTTCTAACGGATGCAAAATGGCACCACACAACGCAGTACCCAAGATGCACCACATAAAGATGTGTATAGAATAGCCAGTATTTACCCTTCCCATGATCCATCTGGTTGCTGTTTTCCTTTGATGTAATCAAGAGCTTGGTCCATGACTGATCTGTGATTACAATCAGAGATAAATACACAATGGTTAATGATACATGATGTTTTGTGTCATTTTAATCTTTGTACTTCCATTTTGTTTTTAGTATATTTAAGAAACATTTTATGTAAATTTCATTATGTTTGGGAATAACCTTGATAGGCCATTGTTCTCCGTTTTCCCCACCACATAATGATTTCAATTGAAGATGTTTCATTTTAACATTTAGTATTGTATATATGCATATAAATTGTACTTCAACTTAATCAAGAGCTTGGTCTGTGATTATAATTAGAGATAAATAAACATGGTCAATGTCTCAATGATACATTCAATCAACCCATCAAGTAAATGCAACGCCCTGATTAATGAACACCTGGCAGAAGAAAATAGGTAAAGATCTCTAGAATTTCATGGCAAGAGGAATGATATCAATTTCACATGGCTCTCCTCATCAGATCTTTGATTATTATGAGCGAGAAACATAGCAAAAATTAGACATTTAAATTGATTTAAAGGCACACTGTCCTACTTGTAGCTACTTGCTCCCCAAATCGGTGCCTGTTGGTGCCTGTTGGTCCCCCATGATCCTCTTTTTCTTATGTTAAATGAGAGCTGAGTTAATGAGATAGCCACCTGTCACAATGACCTCGATGGCTCACTGGGTGGTCTAATCCCTTCTTGCTGAAGTAGTAAAGCCTCCCTTTAAATTGTTATAAATACGAGGGGGAGGCTCATCCTATGTTATTCCTCAGGATACTTCTCTTTTTCTAAATTTAAACGAGGTGAATTCTTGCTACCTTATTAGCTGATAGCTTGGAAATGATACCAACAGAGGTCCTGAGAACAGTTCAACAATAACAATCAAGAAATAGCAACTACAATACGCTTCATACCTTATCTCGTCAGTCCTGTACTCAGGATATTGAGTATGGAAATGGTGAAGGGCAAGCAGGACGGCTACTGTACACTCCACATATGTGTAGTCTATCATGATATCACCTATACAGTGCGTCCCAGAAAAAACGAAACCGAAAATTGTCAATGTTTTATCATAACTTAATCACAATTATAATTAATAAATGACACATATTTGTGAATCTTAGATCCTCCTCTTTCATTTGAAGCAATTCATATGATGCATATTTCACGCATGGGTGATTAAAAACAATTTGAAGAGAGGAAACCAAAAAGTCATTTGGCGGGCGGTATCTGAATTTCAAAGAGAAAATTACATTTCTAGAAAATCCATTTTTTGCCCTTTCATATGACATCTCAATCAGGAAAAATGAGCCAGGAATAACAAAGTTTTGTCTGTTTAAATGCTTACATTTCCATAATTTGACAAAACAAATTTGTTTTCACTGGCTGCCTGCCGTAGCAACAAATAGAGTTGACAAAAGACTTAACTCCGTTTTGTTGACGATCAGCCATGCACAAAGAAGACAAAAGACTTGATGAATGGCTGATCGTCAACAAATTTCTCTCTTGTATTAAGTCTAAGTCTAGAATATGTGGTTCATAAGACACAGTAAATACAGATTCTTACCGAAAACTTCTGATGGATTTAGATTCTCAAGGATATATCCTCCTCTCGTGGTCTCATATGTAGCAAACCCACCATCCGGGTTACGCATATCAATCAACTAAAACAGAGGATAGTGACATATCATCAGGGTTATGCATATCAATCAACTAAAACAGAGGATAGTGACATATCATCAGGGTTATGCATATCAATCAACTAAAACAAAAGATAGTGACATATCATCAGGGTTATGCATATCAATCAACTAAAACAGAAGATAGTGACATATCATCAGGGTTATGCATATCAATCAACTAAAACAGAAGATAGTGACATATCATCAGGGTTATGCATATCAATCAACTAAAACAGAAGATAGTGACATATCACCAGGGTTATGCATATCAATCAACTAAAACAAAAGATAGTTACATATCATCAGAGGTACAATATTTTGAAGAAAAAGTCCACATCTATTAGGAGGATACCAAAGCATTTGTATGCATTTATTTTCTTCTCTGTTTTGTTCTGTGGCTTCATGATTGCTATTGCATTTTGCTGCTACCATAGATCGCATATCTATGACGTCAACCATGGTATAGTGCACTATACCATGGATGACGTCGCTGTATAGCACATTTTTCTTATCGGAACATCATAGCAATGTATAGTTTGGTCACATGTTGCCATATATGTTGACCAATCACTAAACAGGATTTCATTAATCAAAAAATAACAATAAATAGCCAAGTTATCTTTGAGTTTTGGGGCACTGGAAGTAAAACTAGGTATTTTCTTCAGTTTAATTAAAGAATGGCAAGATTTAGGCTATGAATACATTTTTCCTGTAAACTACACCAAATATTATTTCAAAATGAAGAATATACTCACCACATCAATGGCTTGGCAATGTCTCTCTTTGCCTATATGATCAGAGATAAAAGGGCACTTCTCCTCCAGCAGCATGGCGGACTTAAGACCTTCTGCAGTACAGTCTGAAACAATCCATCCACAGTCTTTGGTTGAAAAGGGATAACCACCCTAAGAATTGGAAAATAAAGTATTTAATATAATAATAATAATAATATTGGATTATTATATAGCGCACGTATCGACCTAGCAAGGTCCTCAAGGCACTCCAACATTACCCGGCTATGCTATATCAAATAGATATTAATCAAACAATCTAACTGCATACTAAATTAAACTGAAAAGAACTTGTTTATTATGATATGGATGCATGCTTACAATAATGGTTATAAGCTACTGAAATAATAGCATTTGATTGGCTGAGAGCAAATTAAATTTCTTATTGATAACAAGTTTTTTTAATCAGGCACCGTGTTACAAATCAAGATAGTTCCATGGCTGTCATTGCCTGACATATTTCCTTCGGCCTACTCAAGGATATTTGTGAAATATATCGCCTTTTCTATTTGTATTGTTGCTTATTATTGTTGTGAAAGTTGGACTTTAAAGGCATGATTAAATATCAAGAGAATCAATGCCCTTGAAATGTGGATATGGGGGAGACTTCTTAGCTCAGGGTCAGCTGAAAAGACAGGAGAACCAATGAATAGGTCAGGAACAGAGTTATGGGAACAGGGGAGTGTTTCACAAAGACTAAGATCGACTCCAAGTCGGACTTAACTATGGCAGGCCGCTCATGCCACTAGTTCCTCTAACCATTCCTGGAATTGGTTTCTCAAGGGACGTACAAATAATGGTCACAAATCTACAGAATTTAGCTTTTTTGATAGTTCATTATTGAAGGAAAAAATATTATCTAAAGATCATAATTGAGAGACCAATGGTGAGAGCAACCAGTGGCATGAATGGCCTGCCATAGTAAAGTCCAACTTAAAGTCGATCTTAGTCTTTGTGAAACACCCCCCCCCCCCCCCCCCAGACGAATGAGGAATGGCAGCACAAGTCAAGAAAAGGAAGATCGCAAAGTATAGACACGGGAATAGCAGAGAAAATAGTGTGTATCACATCTACCAACATACCTTGCTCATCTGGCGGTAGTACTTTTGATAGTTCGGAGGGTTCTCTGGTATCTGCGTGTTCTTTAAGAAGTCATGAGCCTTGCTTAAAGTATCCTTGAACTCTCCCTCGCCGCCAGCCTCTAAGAAAGCTTGTATGACAAAGGCTGTATCCCAAAGCTGAGAGCCATTGGTTCCCTGTCAATAGATAAACATATAAAGGTTAATTGGTTGGTTCGGTTGTCTTACCAGACTGCTAAGACAGCGTGTGTATGCTATTTTAAAGATGACACTTCATTATCTAGATAAAATTCGCCTTCTCTCCATACCCTCTAACTAAGGACTATAAAGTATATTTACTACACAGCCTACCACTTTGACTGCGATGAATTCGCTGATCTTCAAAAAGCGGAGGGACAAAAACAGAGAGAGAGCTTGCAGCTTAAAGCAACCAGGGGACTGACGGCTTGAAGCCATCCCTGAGGGACTTAGTAATGAGTATTAACGCATTACCAAAGGGCATTAATGCATCAAATGGGTTTTGAACCCGAGACCTCCTGGTTAAGAGACCGCTGCTCTACCACTGAGCCATCACGAGTCTGAACTGTAATTTTGGGTTTGTAGCACTACACCTTATTTCATAGCTAGGCTATCATTTTAAACACAAAATCCCATGAAAAGCAAAGTTAACCTACAGAGAATAAACTTAAAAATAAAATCACAAGAGATAATATAAAGCAACACCTACCTGCATTTTCATGCCATCTAGACCAATCCTATTAAAAAGGAAAGAAAAACAAAGAAACGATCAGAAATAACATCGTTAATAATACATAGGAGTTTGAGATTTTCCACAAAGTATGTTTAGTTCTTGATCAACTTCAGACAATATCATTTGTGTATGTGTGTTAAAAGACTTTCAAAGTTCTTGAAATTTGAATCACACTTCAAAACTTACAATTTTCTGCAACCCAATCTCTATCGTCCCATCGATTGCCTCCCTTCTTACTCACTCTTTCCCTGAACCTGTTTTTTTCTTCTTCTTTCACTCCCTTCCTTCCAAAAGCCTTGCTCAGATATGAGGTAGTCAACCATGGTGTGTGTGTGACAATTTTTCCTGACATTTTAACCTCTGACATTTTAAGCTCTGACATCTTCACCTCTGATGTTTTAACTCTGACATGTTTACTCTTGACATTTTTACACTGGATATTTTTACACTTGAAATTTTTACACTTGACATTTTTACCTGACATTTCTAAACCAAACCATCTTAACAAGCCTTTAGTCTGTTTGAAAGAGATTTTGATATATTCATGATAAATTTCTCACCACAAGTAGTCTGGGAGTCTATCCTTGTGCATCTTGAAAGCTTCTGAGTCAGCTCCATCAATATGCCATCTTGCCAACATCTGAATCACTTTAGAGATCTAATAAGTAATAACCAAATGATAATAAACCATCTTTCCAACATCTACATCGCTTGAAATCTTACAACTAAATAATAATAGTGCCCAGTTTAGTAAAATGATTTCATATCCTACAGGCTGTACTGTACATAGACCTAACCAAATATCAAGTAAAATGGTACTTCTATGAAAATTTATGTTTATATAACCATGCTCGGTATATTCCAGTCTCTTAATAACATTTCTACTTGATACAAACGAGGATAAACTTACTGGACCAACACTGATTCCGTTAGTGAATTCATCATCAGCTTTGATGTGTTCATAGCAGTGATCCAATGCCTTCTTTCTCAACCAGGTAGAATGAAACTTCTCATACAAATCCAAGATCGCTGTTTAACACAACAAAGATACAAGATGTAAAAAGGTGTCATTTTTAATCTACACTTGCTACTTTATAACCAGGAAAGAAATGAAGACCTGGTAGGATGACGAAAGCCTTTGTCACTTTAGTAATTGCCATATTCCCTCACGGTGACCATATGGTAGGAATACTCCCAAGGGAGTGGAGATGGTGCACATTGTGCATGAATGAATCTGATGACCAGGGTAATATTTGTAAAGCAATTTAGAGAAAGTATTTTGTATTAACACTATGTACATTCAGATTATTATTATAAGTCTTCAATTTTTTTTCAGGACTATTGCCTGATGTGGGGTCAGTCCTAAAGGGGCACAAGTTTGTGTAAAAGGCATGATTGTTTTTTGATGAAGTAAGTCATATGTATGACAGTATTTTCAATCCAATATAATTCTACATCTCCTATTATTTAGTTACTATTCAGCATTATTCAAATATTCTCCGGCATTCGAGAAGTGCACATATCTACTTTAAACAATTTGGAAACAGCTAACTGAGTAGTTTTTGTTTTTTGTTTTAACATTTTTTTACTAATGCATAGTGTTAGCGGAGGCATACACATACAAACAATTGTGATAAATTATGTTTAATTCTGGTATCCCTATATATATGTACAAACTACACATGTTTGTTAATTATGTATTTAGTCAGTCAGCTAGTAATATTGCCCTAGAACACAAAAAGCAGCATTACATTTTCAATAGGTCTTCTGATAGGCAGTAATAACTTCTCTTTAAGAAGAAATTTCACTCTCAACATATTTTCCTTTTCAAAATCTAAAGAAAATTATTTAAAATTGCAATACATTAACATACACGTTGGTTTGTTGCGCATGATAAACAATATTGACTTACCCATTGCAATGTTGTACAACCAACTATGTGGTGTGTAAAGATCAAACTTAGAGATGTTATCTCGCTGGGATGGCCAATGAATGCTCGAATAGTCGGCCTTGAAAATTTCCTACCATAATAATAATAATAAGTTCGTTAATAATTCACCGGCTTACAAACAATTGCATGTACACATAAAAGAAAGCACTTATAGAATACCTTCTAAAATAGAGTAAAATAATAAACTGCTAGTTATTTGATATTTGACTTTTTCATCCAGTTTATACAATTATATTATAGTTATGTTTGTAATTAGCTTTACAATAACATTTGAAATAAGTTTGTTTATTTTATGTACCCAAACTATGTTTTTTAGGTTCAAAGGTACCAGGCTTGATTAGCATTGATGCTCCTTTCTGGTTCCCTTTTATACTTCTATATTATTGTATAAAACGGTTTATACCTATTGTTATGTGTTTATTATTGGATGATACGTTTCCAGTTTAAGTTCAAGTTCAATTTCAATTTAAAGTTAATCTAGGAAGAAAATTTACAACAGAGATGAACTAAAACATGATAACAAACTTACAATATCATGCCATTTAGAGAATATTTACAACTTACATGGAAATACCGTTACAGTGAGATACCTCTTTTCTCGTAACCCTTGAGTGGTCTTTATATACAGGTTTCACTGTACATGCATGTGATATTAAAGTAATCTAGGAGAGATGGGGAGGGAGGGAGGAGAGAGGGGAGGGGAGGGAGGGAGGAGAGAGGGGAGGGGAGGGAGGGAGGGAGGAGAGAGGGGAGGGGAGGGAGGGAGGAGAGAGGGGAGGGAGGAGAGAGGGGGAGGTGGAGGGAGGAGAGAGGGGGAGGTGGAGGGAGGAGAGAGGGGAGGGGAGGGAGGGAGGAGAGAGGGGAGGGGAGGGAGGGAGGGAGGAGAGAGGGGAGGGGAGGGAGGGAGGAGAGAGGGGAGGGAGGAGAGAGGGGGAGGTGGAGGGAGGAGAGAGGGGGAGGTGGAGGGAGGAGAGAGGGGAGGGAGGGAGGGAGGAGAGAGGGAGGGGAGGGAGGGAGGGAGGAGAGAGGGGAGGGGAGGGAGGGAGGAGAGAGGGGAGGGAGGAGAGAGGGGGAGGTGGAGGGAGGAGAGAGGGGGAGGTGGAGGGAGGAGAGAGGGGAGGGGAGGGAGGGAGGAGAGAGGGGAGGGGAGGGAGGGAGGGAGGAGAGAGGGGAGGGGAGGGAGGGAGGAGAGAGGGGAGGGAGGAGAGAGGGGGAGGGAGGAGAGAGGGGGAGGTGGAGGGAGGAGAGAGGGGGAGGTGGAGGGAGGAGAGAGGGGAGGGGGAGGGAGGAGAAAGGGGAGGGGGAGGGAGGAGAGAGGGGAGGGGGAGGGAGGAGAAAGGGGAGGGGGAGGGAGGGAGGAGAGAGGGGAGGGGGGAGGGAGGAGAGAGGGGGAGGGGGAGGGAGGAGAGAGGGGAGGGGGAGGGAGGAGAGAGGGGAGGGGGAGGGAGGAGAGAGGGGGAGGGGAGGGAGGGAGGAGAGAGGGGGAGGGGGAGGTGGAGGAAGGAGAGAGGGGAGGTGGAGGGAGGAGAGAGGGGAGGGGGAGGGAGGGGGAGGGAGGAGAGAGGGGGAGGGGAGGGAGGGAGGAGAGAGGGGGAAGTGGAGGAAGGAGAGAGGGGAGGGGGAGGGAGGAGAGAGGGGAGGGGGAGGGAGGAGAGAGGGGAGGGAGGAGAGAGGGGGAGGGGGAGCAGGGTTCATACCTTTCTGAGCTCCCTGGTGAGCTGATTTTCTTCGGCCTGGAACTTGATCCCATAAAAGAATCCCATTGGAAGATAAACCTGTCGACAATGACACCAGATAGTGGATGGGTGAGCAGGAAGCCAAGTGGGAAACAACCTGGAGAGGATCAATGATACGAAATAGATTCATTATCATCGTGAACTTATTCATCACCATTAAAGCTTATCTACCAGGGCTCAAATTAATTTTTTGCCCACAGGGGCTCTTCCAAAAAAAAAAAGAGCCCCCGTGAGCCTTCTCACGGGAGCTCTTTTAGTACTCACAGGGGCTCTTTTTTATACAAATTTTCAATGAATTGGTGCCCATGTTACTCCTCAATTCTCAGCTATTTCATTATTATCATTTATTTAAGTCAGCATTTTCCCTCTTACAAATTTACAAGTAAGGCCTACATAGCTGCTACTGACTTTCATCCTGTGATGACATTCTCTCGATTTCTTCCCGTTTTGCACATTATTTCCTCCTCATTATTCGGAGCAACCCTCACATTTTTCTGTACTTTAAGTCTTTACCCAGGGGCAGATCTAGCTTTTTGCTCAGGGGGGAAATAACCCAATGCAGAGCATCGTCCATGAGCTGCGTAATTAAGTGATGTTTTCCTGGCATCTACTTTAATACATGCAGAGCATCGTCCACGAGCTGCCTAGCGGCGAGGCGATTTTTTTTTTTTTGGGGGGTGCTATTTTGAACCCCCCGTAAGTGATGTTTTCCTGGCATCTACTAATACTGTTTGGGTCTGGACACATATCTATGCACATCACATTTTCACTTGGCAGCCCAAGGGGGGGGGGGGGGGGTGTTAACCCCCTCCCCCCCCCCCCCCCCCCCCCCCCCCCCCCCCCCCCCCCCCCCCCCCCCCCGTATTTTGAGCGCTGTTATCTACACTAGTTGGCCAGAAGGGATTAGACTTCCCTGCATGGTCACTGACAGGTGGTTATATCATCAAATTAGCTCTCAATTAACATAAGAAAAAAGGGACCATGGGGTACCAGCGGTCACGGTTAGGCATGGTTTGCTATATAGAGGGCGCAAGTAGCTATAAGTAGTGCAGTGGAGCTTTAATAGTGAAGTCCTGTATAGCACTTGTGTCTAGCAATATGCCACTCGTAGCCCTCCATTATTATTACCCCAGCTTTAGCACAGCTGCCATTACATCACTTGAGCAAGTACGAATTATCTCACCTAAATTTAGTGTGGCAAATGTACATTAATATCTTGCAAAAGGGATCAATGTTACCAATGTGTTCATCACTATCATCAACATCATTTATGACATCACCATTGCCTTCCTTGTCAATAGCAGTTATTACAATCACTATCCTAAATGAATAGCCTGGTTCAACTTTGTTGCATACTTTTTTTAAAGAGTTTGTTCTTACAAATAATGTATGCAGACTTGATTCCAAGTATTGTAGTTCATTCATTAATAACAGGTTAATAGAATAACTCGTCACTATATGTAGGTCCCAAGGTAATAATCATCCATAAATTTGCATATGTTAGTAAATTGAAAGATTAAACGAGAACTCGTTTGAGATTTAATCTCAATTATATAAGTAATATAAAATGAGGGTTTACGTTAAATGAGACCCCGTTAGTGCGCATGCGCTAATCAGCAATATTCGTAGATAGCCGAGGATGTGCCTACTGAACCAAGCAGAAAGATAACGAGAACTGTAATTAATAACAATACCCAGCACTAGGGAGGGTAAGGGAGGGACGTAAACCCTCATTTTATATTACTTATATAATTGAGATTAAATCTCAAACGAGTTCTCGTTTAATCTTTCAATTATACTACGTAATACCAATTTCGGGATTACGTTAAATGAGATTTCGAAGCTCAGTAGGCCATCCGATCCAGTGCTCAACACAAAAGTATACATTATTGATAGAATAGCAAGCTAAAGCATGCTGCTAAGAAGGTAAACCAGCTGACCTTAAAAAGGCGATGCCAATTCTAGGACATCCTTTAGGACGCCATGATTGCACCTGTGAAATTGACGTTCCTGTTCTCTACTGGTTTCATGTAATAGTTTCGAAACGTCCGTTCAGAAGACCAGCCCGCCTGGGCTAGTATATGCTTGATAGGCAGATTTGAACTGTTTGCTGCTGAAGTTGATGCAGCTCTAGTAGAATGAGCTTTGTAGATGTCTGTGTCGATCCCTGCTGAGGTCAACGTTTCCTTCACCCATCTGGCGATGGTCTGCGTAGTAACGCGTTTGTGCGGTTTCTTGAAGCTGATGAACAGATAGCGTTCCTGTCCCCTGACGCTCTCCGTTCTGCGCAAGTAGTGCCGCAAGTAGTTAAGTACACATAACCTCTTGTCTGGTGGATATGCCTTCATTTTCAAGTTGAAGTTCACATTCCCTGGTTTTGTTTGCTTTAGGAGGTCCTTAAAAATGAACAGAACTTCGCTGCCCTTGATTTTCATGTAGTCGAGATGCAAGCTGTGCAGTGACTGGACCCGCTGGGCCGATATCAGCGCCATAAGTGTGCAAAGTTTCATAGTCAGAGTTTTTAGCGTGAGCGAATTCGCTGGTGCCCACTTCCGTAGATAATTAAACACTATGTTCACATCCCAAATCTCCTTATATCTTGGCGCTGGAGGGCGCAATTGAAAAGCTCCTTTACAAAAACGACTAATAAGAGGATGAGTTCCAACTGTACATGACGAATCCTCAAGTACTAGGAATGCAGACAAGGCGCTGCGTGCAGAATTTATAACACTATAACTAGCTCTTTCACTTTCAAAGAGTTCTGACAAAAAATCAATTACATCATTGGATCTCGCCTGGAGATAGTTCAAGCCTTTTTTATGGCAGTATGTCTTCCATTTCCTTATGTAAACGGCATAGTTCTTTGTCGTTGATGCTCGCCACGATGCTGCTATTACATTGATAGCTCTTGCACTCAAACCTTTACTTTCTAGTGGCTGGCGCAGCACCTGCAACAAAGCAAATCAAGCTGATTATTAAGCGGGTGTGGCTCATTTGTAATAGGCTGTGCTAGTAAGTTTGGCCTTCTAGCTATGAACATTGGCTCCCCAATAATCATACTCTTCAAAAGAGGGAACCATGGTTGGGTAGGCCAGTTTGGAATTACTAGTAGGCCTGTTGCATCATCGCATTTAATCTTTTGTAAGCATTTTGCGATGAGGCAGAAGGGTGGGAAAGCGTAGAAACTTAATGGTTTCCAGTCGATTGTGAAAGCATCAAGTGTTTCAGCTCCAGGGTCAGGCAGCCATGAGATGTATCTGTCAACTTGCTTGTTTAATCTTGATGCAAATAGGTCTATTTCTGGGGAACCAAATTGCTGAGCAATTTCTTTGAATGCATCTGTATTTAGCATCCACTCTGTCTTGTGGTTAAAGTGTCTAGACATGTGGTCTGCCTCTGTGTTTAGTTTCCCTGGTAAATGGGCAGCTGATAGCCATATGTTCCTACTCATGCACCATTCCCAAATGTGTTTGGCTGCCTCATTGCAATCTGCGGACTTGCAGCCCCCCATATTGTTAATGTATGATACTGCGGTTACATTATCAACACGGAGTAGTACATGCACATTTTCCGTATCAGCACAGAAGGATTGAACGCCAAACCCCGCAGCAACTGTTTCAAGGTAGTTAATGCCATAATGCCTAGCTTTGTGCAATTCTTTTTCATTCCATCTACCACCTGTGCATGATTGGAGGTTAGTAGCACCCCAGCCAGCCCCACTGGCGTCCGTGCGCAACTCAAGGTCTGGTTTCGGTCTTCTTATTGGTGCAAATGAAGACGTTACATGCTCGACCCACCATTGAAGCTCACCCTTGGCTTCATTTGAAAGTGTCATTTTTCTATCGAAATGACCTCTGTTTGCTTTTAGTGCTGCAATTTTGTCTCTCTCTAAAGTACGATAGAAGAGAGGGCCATATTGGACTGCTGGGAAAGTTGAAACGATCTTCCCAATAACCCTGGCAACATGCCTTATTGAGGGCTCCTTAGTGTCAATAAGCTCTTGACAGAGGCGTTCGACTTCAAGCGCCTTGCTTTCTGGAAGCCTAATTTGCATAGTATTTGTATTCAGAACAAAGCCAAGGAACGTTATCTCTTTGGTGGGGGTAAGTACCGATTTTTCAGGGTGAATAATGAACCCGAGTTGTGCAAGGATGTCAGTGGTAGCCTTAACAGCTGCTTTGAGCTTTTCCTCATTTTCTGCAATGAGGATTGTGTCATCCAAATATCCTACCACAATGTGACCAGCTTGTCTGAGCTTAGAAAAAACTGGCTTTAGTAATTTTGTGAATAGCCTTGGTGCTGTACTGAGACCATTGGGCAGTGCTTTGAATTGCCAACATTGACCATTGACAATGAATTTGAGGTATTTCCTATCCTCTTGGTGGATCGGTACTGTATAATATGCATCTCTGAGGTCGACAGAGGCTAGAAAATTGTCGGGGGATACAAGATCCAGCACAGTGTGGATATTATCCATCTTAAAATGCTTATACATCATGCATTTATTCAATTCTGAAAGATCGAGGATTAGACGTACACCTCCAGTTCTTTTAGGCGTAGTAAAAATATTAGAAATGAATTCACCCTCTTCGTGTACACAGGGCTCAATAACATTTTTACGATGGAGGCTAGTAATTTCTTCTTGAATGCGCTTAGCATCCTGGACACTCCGTTTATAGCGTTTAGCCTTTAATTCAGGCAAGTCTTTAATTTTTTCTACATCAAACTCGATCTTGTATCCCGTGACAGCCCTAATAACAATAGGGTCTGTTGTTAGCTCTTGCCAATTTTTCCTAAAATACCTCAGTCGACCGCCCACTGGGGGAACACTACTAGTACTAGTACTAGCATTAGTCATATCATTTTCGCTAAAAATGAGATCAAAGTGTGAGTCACTAACCTTGTCGTGACTTGGTCTTGGGAGTTCTACTTCCTCCTCTGCTGGCCCATGGGACCCCTCTGGGCACCTGGCGCTTGCATTTGAGGCTGGTTCGGAGCCTGAGACTGAGTGTACGGAGGCTGTCTGCCCCTCCTGTTCTGTCTGTACCCTAAAAAAGGGCCACCCTGCGATCCTGACATTGGCCTGCTATACCAGCGGGATTGGCTCTGTGAGCCCCAGCGGTGCCCCGGTGCATTGTAGCCACGTCCCCGATAGGGATGCGAAGCAAAGCGGTTTTTGAATTTGTCCCTCATTACACCGGCCGCTGCCAGTTGCTGATCTTTGAGATCCTTCACCTGCTTTCCAAGATCATCACCAAACAAAAGTCTAGTAGCTGGCAGAGTAGGTTTGCACAGATGCGTAAACCTTGCATTCAAGTCAGGTTTTATGAGCTCTTTTCGCAGGCAGTTCAGTTCAAAGTTAGCGTTACAAATCAACGCCAAAGCATCTTGCTGTGTATCAGTTATACCGCCCGTAGAAACGGAGCGGGCAAATGCATTGATGCCATGAGTGAGTGATTTCTGAACTCGCTGTAACTTCAAGTCACGGCTTTTTGTCATCGGAGGTAGATTGTCCCATATCACAGGGTTCACCTTTGGTGCCTCTATAATCTGACAATTGCTTGGAGCTGGGTATTTTGCAGTAACTTCATCAAGAACTTTCCCCTCCAATTGGTGTGTCATGAGATATGAAGTAGATTGGGCTATCTCCTCCTCAATAGGATCTCCGATATCCGACGCCATTGCGAATTTTGCGGCGATCGAGGGAATGACAAAGTTATCAGGTTGAGGCATGTCTGAGTCAAAATTCTCTTCCTCCGAGACGGCGCCCGCTTCGGTTGCATCCGCGGGTAGACCGTAAAAATCCATGAGCCCGGTGGGCGGTATGTCATTCCCGTGGTCGAACGGAGGCCGTTGCACATAGTCTTCCCCGCCGGTAGCCCCGGTGGGGCCGCGAGACGAAGACGGGTGTGAGCTGCCGGTGACAGCCGTAGCATTAGTAGCGGGCAACGCCTCAACCACTCGCGCAAGAAGCGCTTCCATTTTATCAAGTCTGTTATTAAAAGTAGAAAATGGAACCGTTGATTCCACTTCTTGATTTTTCTCGCTCATTGCCTTTGGCTCCGAGTCCGACTTTGTTTTACTTTTAGCTTTCCCCGGCCCACTCTTGCTGACTTTGCCAGCCGTGACTTTGCCACTGGAGTTGGGTAATTTTTTCTTTCCGTCGGAGCCCGTGGCTCCTGCGCTACCAGGCGGGGCCTGGGGTGAAAGCGCGGACGGAGGAAACGCAGCAGTGCTGCTATCCATTTGAGACATTACAATTCTATCGATAAAATATCACTTCAGAAGGGCGTGATTTATAAAAAATAAGCGTCTCAAGTTATCAGTAAATGTCAAGGGTGAAACTAATAACGTTTTTTACCTTTGAATTTCGGGGATTGCGTGGATAATAAATCTGATTTCTTGAGCCAGAAAGGGGTCCTTTCGCTCAAATAACACGCGACTAACGAATTGCTGATTAGCGCATGCGCACTAACGGGGTCTCATTTAACGTAATCCCGAAATTGGTATTACGTAGTATAACTGGTCAATTATCATGGAACTTCCTTTTATCATTACGCTTGGAATTTGGAACATAAACCATGTTAGCTACTTGGAAGTTCAACCAAATAGGTATCTGTATAGTTCAATCACCTTGTTAAGTCTTTACCCAAGTACTCAAATAGTGCAATGGAATTGGAGAACAATATAGATTAGATAGCTGAGTCATCCGCATTAACCATTCTCTCCATATGCATTGTTCTGTCAATAGCCATTAGGCAGAACTGTTGAATGATAAAACATTCTACCAGACTTCTTGTCAGCTGGGATAGACGTTACCAGATGAGAATCCTCTTAACATACCAAGTGGCATTAGAAGGCATCAGCAGTATTCTATCAGTGATTTGGATTTTAGTCACAGCCCAAGACTATCATCATCAGTTTCATGATCACTCTGAAATCAATACAAAATTTAACTTCTGGGCCCCATTTCACAAAACTTGTCAACAGTGAAAAATGTTATAAGCTAGTAAAATCCTTGCTTCTGATTGGTTATCAGCAGATTTGTCACTGATTTTTGTCATTTGTCATTAAAAAAAAGGCATTGTGAAGCGGATCCCAGGACCCCTTTTTTTTTCCTTACCATATTTCAGGAAACAAGCAGTGCATGCCCTCCCATTTGTAAAGATTGAGAACACAGAGCCAGAACTTGCCCCAAGATGGAATGCTCTCAGCACCACCTGCAATCAAAACAATTATCATTGAATAAATAACACTCCCATCTGTAGGTATGGGGAACTCTTCGAATGTCAACTTTACGGCAAAATTAGTGAATTACAGTAGTTTACAGTGACATTTATAAAAGAAAAGTGTAAAAATGACCACATATTATAGGATATTTCACTGCAAGCAGTCCACAATTATTCCTACGCCCTCCATGCAATTCTCACTTCGAAACTTTTCACCAGAAGCTTCTTACTGTAAGTGCTGTCAAATTTTGTAACAGTGAATACACACTTTATCCAAATTTGGTATAAATTGCTTCCATCATACATTCGTTTCAAGATATCTGTTGGTAGTTTTTAACATTTTTATGACCCTGTGACCTTTGATTTCCAAAATCTAATCAGTTCATTCTTGTCTACTTAGTTTGGTTTCAAACATTAACAAGGGAAACGCTCTCGGCGGTCTCGCCTGCATAACGCAATTCAATATGATAAACCAGAACGTCAATGACGTAGCGCTCATCCGCATCTCGCAACAACAAATATCATAAATTTTATGTGGTACACTTTTGAACTGGTCAAAAAATAAAAATTTGATACCCTGGAAGGTACATAATTTCATTTCATTTGCATAAAGTACCATAAATAATCAATGGAGCAAAATCTCACAATTCTGTGTAGAAGTTTAGTGTTCCAAATTTAGCTCTGCCAGATAAGGCAAACCAAATCAAAATCGGTCAAGAAATGAGGGAAAAGAAGCAATTTTTGTTATTTTTGGAATAAATTTGCATAAATTACCATAATTAATTAATGGAGAACAATTTCAAAATTCTGTGTAGGAATTTTAAAATCCCCCTCCTAGCCCTATCATATGAAACAATCAGAATCAAAATCGGTTGAAAAAAAACGAAGAAGAAGCATGAAAATCTCGATGTTGATGCCACAACAAAGTCTAAGTTCGTTGACCTTAAATGACCTTTGACCTTAACTTAGTGACCTGAAATTCTACTCACATGATTGGGGAGACTTGATAACCCTATAGTCTAAGTTTCATTGACTAAGAACTTATACTTTCAAAATTATATCAAAAATTCAAAAACTTAACCTTAGGTTAAGTTTTCCATGATGATGCTACAACATAGTCCAAGTCTGTTGACCTGAAATGACCTTTGACCTTGACTTTGTGATCTAAAATTCTACTCACATGATTGGGGATACTTGATTACCCTATAGTCAAAGTTTCATTGACTAAGAACTTATACTTTAAAAATTATATCAAAAACTCAAAAACTTAACCTTAGGTTAAGTTTTTGATGTTGACGCCGCCGCCGCCGCCGTCGCCGGAAAAGCGGCGCCTATGTCTCGCTTTTTGCTACGCAGGCGAGACAAAAACTCCCTCATTATTGGTTCGATTTATTTCTAACTTCCGCCATTCTGTTTCTCTTAGTTTTCCGTTTTCATACAAATGAACTTATCACAAGGGTAGGATTGCCAGGAGGGATTAGATCTCCCTGCATGGTCACTGACAGGTGGTTATCTCATCAAATCAGCTCTCAATTAACATAAGAAAAAGGGGATCATGGGAGATCAACGGGCACCGCTTACGCATTGTTGGCTATGTAGGGGGCGGAAGTAGCTACAAGTAGTGCAGTCCTGCTTTAAGGAAATAGTTCAAGGTTTTAATTTCTTTACATCCTCTCCAGTTGTTCCTCATTAATTATTTATAATGGAGATTCTTCAATGTTCCACATGGTGGGGAAAATACTGAAGTTATGACCATTCACACAGGCAAATTAAGGGGGCAAAATCCCCCCCCCCCCCACCCCTACCCCCCCCCCCCCCCCACCCCTACCCCACTGATATTCCCATTAGTATAATGAAACTAGACCAGACCTGCCAACCTCTGCAGTTCAAAAAATATATTCTTTAATCCCAAAAGTTGTATTTTACTGACAAAAGTTGTATTTTTAAAATAAACACAGACTGTTACGCGGATCAATGCCTCTTACAGTTTCTACCTACAGAAAGAATATTGTTTATGGATCATTGGTTGAATATGCATGATTTGGTCACGAATGGTGTGTTCCATGAACCAATAAACATTCCCAAATTGCCGATGTGAGATGTTTGTAGGATACTTTACAGGACAGAATGCGCATTTGCCATTGAAAATGGCACACATACACAAAATAAAATTAAAAAAAAAAAAAAAAAAAAAAAAAAAAAAAAAAAAAAAAAAAAAAAAAAAATTGTTTTTTTTTGTGTTTTTTTTGTTGTTTTGTTTTTTGTTTTGTTTTGTTTGTTTGTTTGTTTGTTGTTTTTTTTTTTGGGGGGGGGGGGGGAATCGTACTGTCAAATTTGCTTCTAAAAAAAGTATGATATACAACTAAATCGTACTGGTTGGCAGGTCTGCTAGACCCAACCAATAATATGAGGCAATGTTTGCTATGAAGGTCAGCCTTGTCTTTCTACAAATAGTATATCTAATCTTGTGAAGGCTTGCCTGCTTACCCATCTCTAGAAGAAGTTTCCTTGCTTTCTTGAGATCCTCATCATCCTTTGAGACACCCAGTAGTCTCATCGTCACGTAGTTCATTGCTGTGCCAAACACAGTAGCATGATCCTCAATGTGTCTAAGAATTCAAAATGAAATACAGTGAAACCTGTTTATAAAGATCACTCAAATGAAACATGAAAAGTGGTCTTTATAGGCAGGTAGACCTTATGTACAGGTTTAAAGATGAAGTTGAGTTCTGGTCATGCGATTGCATTGTGAAAGAAACAAAGTGGAATCAATCAGAAAAGGTTGATCATCTAGCATATAAGTATTGGTGTGTACTGCAAGGTTCTAGAATCATCAAAATGATAAGAAATTTGGCCCAGTCTTGGAAAAGTTACAAGCACTGTATGTATATAGGACTACATGAACATGGGGCATAAAAATCTGTCCTGATTGTCATGCTGTTACATGCCATATTTAGAATATTAAGGCGGTGTGATAGTCTACATGAAGAAGGGATTATAAACTTACATATAAGTGAGTTGATTGATTAACTAATTAATTGAAAGCTCAAACGATAACTTACCTGTTTGAAGTTTGAGTGTAATTTTATGAGGGAGTAGAGGGAAGAGATTAATTGAGAGCCCGCTTCAACCATGTGCAATCATTCTTTGTAGCCACAAAATGTGTTCGCTGATCCTGAAAGGTCAGATAACTTGTTTGAATTTACATTTACAATGAACGTGAACTAGAGAATACACTCTATTTAAAGGGAGGGAGAGGGGGGCAATTAATCTCTTCCCTCTACTCCCTCATAAAATTACACTCAAACTTCAAACAGGTAAGTTATCGTTTGAGCTTTCAATTTTACTTCGTGAGTCTCGTGAAGAGACTAATTGAGATTTCGTAGCTCAGCGAAACACATTTTGTAGTTAGTTCACATACAGCAGTCAGAGTCCCGACTGTAATGTGAATGTGGATCTGTAGTAACACAACAATTTTTGTTATCATAACAAATCAACTGTACTTAACCAGTACGGTATAACAAATTTTTGGCAACGTCTGTACAACCAACCTGTCAAATTTTGGGTTCAATTCTTGACACTCTGACAGAATATTTTCAGCTAACGCGTAGTTCATTGCTGAAGTACAGCATGTGAGAATTGTTCTCGGTCATCTGTGAGCGGTCTATTATAAAACTGCTGGAAAGTTTTTTCGCTCGACCAGCCAGCTTGGTTTAGAATACATTTGACTGGTACATCGGCCCTGCTAGCTGCCGACACTGCAGCTGATCTCGTGGAGTGTGCCTTGTATTTTCTTGTGTCCACTCCAGCTATAGTTAGGGCCTCTTTAATCCACCGTGATATTGTTTGGGATGAAACTTTCCCATGAGGTTTGCTATGGCTGATGAATAGTTTCCGTTCTTGTCCTCGAACTTCCTCTGTTCTCCTGATGTATGTCCGGAGGTAGTGGACAACGCAGAGTCTCCTATCTGGAGTATACGCCTTAAAGTTGAGCGTGAAACCGTGCTGACCTGGACGGCTTTGCTTTAACAAGTCATCAACCTCAAAGATCACTGAACTTTGTTTCAGTTTTATGTTATCGAGACTTAACAGATGCAATGTTTGAGATCTCTGTGCAGAGATCAAAGCTAACAACAAACACAGTTTGTGGGTTAAACGTTTCAAACTCAGATCTCTAGCTGGTGACCATCTGCGTAAAAGGCCTAGTGCAACGCTCACATTCCATGTGTCCTTGTAACGTGGCGTCGGAGGTCTGAGATTAAATGTTCCTTTTAAAAATCTACAGACCAGTGGGTGTGATCCAACGGGATGAGCACTATGTTCAAGAGATATATACGACGATAATGCACTTCTTGCTGCATTTAATGTACTGTAACTAGCTTTTTCACTGTGAAAAAGTTCTGATAGGAAACTTAAAACATAACTAACTGATGTACGAAGATGATTTGTCTTCTTCCTTTCACAAAATCGTTTCCACTTGGTCCAATAAACTCGATACTGCTTCTTAGTAGAATCCCTCCAAGATGCTGTGAGGACGTCAACGACCCTTTCCTCGAGTCCTATATTCTCGAAGGGTCCCCGGATACCCTGCAACATAAAAGATCAAGACGGTCATGAAGAGGGTGTGGGGTTTGGGAGGTGGGTTGCGTGAGGAGGTTGACGTTCCTTTTAAGTAAGAATGGTTCACCAACAAGGATGCTACTGAGACATGGGAACCATGCCTGGGTTGGCCACTTAGGTACAATCAGAATGCCTGTAGCCTTGTCAGCCTTTATTTTTTGGATACATCTTGCCACGAGACAGAAAGGAGGAAATGCATAGAACTCAAATTTTTCCCAATCTAATGTGAAAGCATCCACTGCTTCTGCATTGGGGTCAGGCAGCCATGAAATGTACCTCTCTAGTTGGGTATTTAATCGTGAGGCAAAAATATCTATCTCGGGCTTCCCAAATTTCTGAACTATCTTCGCGAATGCTTCCTTGCTGAGCATCCATTCAGTTCTGTCATTGAAATGACGTGATTTATGGTCTGCCTCTGTATTTTGTTTGCCAGGGAGGTATGCTGCGGTAATCCATATGGTTCTCTTTATGCACCACTTCCAAATGTCTACAGCCAGTTGGTTACAATGGGGGGACTTGATGCCCCCCATATTGTTTATGTAGGCTACAGCTGTTGTATTATCAGACCTAATAAGGACATGAGCATTCTTTGTTTGGTTGTGGAATGATTTTAAACCAAACCCTATTGCCAAAGTCTCTAGAAAGTTTATTTCATTGTCTTTTGCTTTTTCTAGTTCAGACTCATTCCACCTTCCCCCGGTGTGAATTTGCATATTTGTTGCACCCCATCCACTGCCGCTAGCATCAGTTCTAATTTCATGAGATGGTTTCTCTCTACTGATGGGTGAAAATGCATACTGAATGTGGTTTAACCACCATAGCAGCTCGTTTTTTGCCTCATTAGAAAGCACCATTGTCCTGTCAAAATGGCCACTGTTTCTTTTAAGTGCTATGATTTTTCCCTTTTCAAGGTTTCTGTAAAACAGTGGTCCATACTGAACAGCGGGGAAAGTGGAAATCAATTTTCCTACGACATGAGCAACTTGCCTAATTGTGGGTTCAGGTTGAGAGAGCAAAGTCTCACATTCCAGCTTGATATTTAGGACTTTATCTGCTGGGAGTTTGAAAATCATATCTACTGTATTGATCATAAAGCCCAAAAATTGGATCTCTTGTACAGGTTTCAACACAGATTTCTTGAGGTGAATCTTAAACCCCAATTCCGAAAATGCCTGCGTGGTTGCTCTAATTGCTGCTTCGACCTGGTATTTAGTTTCACCTATAATGATAATGTCATCTAGATATCCCAAAACAACATGGCCTGCCTCTCGAAGAGAGGCAAATATGGGCTTCAACATTTTTGTGAAAAGTCTTGGCGCAGAGCTAAGCCCATTAGGTAGTGCCTTGTACTGCCAATGATGACCTTGCCAAGTGAATTGCAGGTATTTTCGAAATTCAGGTTCTATTGAGATTGAATAATAAGCGTCTTGGAGGTCGACTGAGGCCATGTAACAGTGTGGGGTCAATAGACATGCCACAGTATGAATGTTGTCTATTTTGAAGTGCTGTTTAACAACATATTCATTTAAGTCCGAAAGGTCTAAAATGAGTCTGACACCCCCATTTTTCTTGGGCCTTGTAAAAATGTTTGATACAAACCCATCCGTGACACACGGAGAGCTGTGTTCTATCACATTCTTGTTCTTCAGGTTTTCTAATTCTTTCTGAATATTTATAATTTCTGAAGCACTTCTTTTGTACTGCCGAGAAACATTAGTTCTAGTAGGGCAGATTAATGTTGGGTCAAATTCTATCTTGTACCCCTTTACTGCTTCGAGAATGACATGGTCTGAAGTGATCTTCTCCCATTCTCGAAAAAATAGTCTCACTCGACCTCCAACTGGTGACGCTTGATTAGAATTTTCAGTAACTTTGGGTATTGATATAAATGATTGTGAAGGGCTACTTACCTCTTGGGGTATGTTAGCAGCTACTTTTTCTGCAGGTTCGGACGATAGCGACCCTGCGACGCCACTGGCTGCCTCGGCGCTTGGGCCTGCGTGCGCCCCCTGAAAGGCGCTCTCCTGCCTAAAAAAGGCCGATATGGCGTCCCTGAAGTAGGTCGGCTGTTTGAGGATGACGACCATCCCGCAGATCTGTACTGCTGTGAGCGGTAAGTATCAGTTGCCTTGTATGGGTGATACGTAGTCTGGCCGGGTCGAGCCCGAACCTTACTCTGATCAGCAGATTTCACAACACCTAATGTCGCTTTCTGTTCTTCTTTCAGGTCTTTTACTCTCTTTCCTAAATCATCCCCAAAGAGGAATTTTGTCACCGGTGCCTTGCACAGGTGAGAGTAGGCCGGGTTCATGTCAGGTTTAATTAGTTCCTTACGCAGTGAGTTCATCTCAAAATTGGCATTGGATAGTAACGCTAAGGCGTCCTGCTGCGTCTCCGTGAGGTGTGTAGATGAAAGCGAGCGTGTATAAGCGGTTAAGCCCCTCGTGAGTAACTTCTGGACTCTTGTCAGTTTCAGGTCACGACTTCGTGTGAACGGCGACAGCTTTTCCCAAATTACCGGGTTAACTTTTGGTACATCGAGGATGGGGCAATTACTCGGTGGTAAGTACTTAGCAGTTGTCTCTTCAAGAACTTTATCCTCAAGTTTGGTATTTGACAAGTAAGAAGTGGAACTAGCTACTTCATCGTCGAGTGGTGAACCCACGTCTGTTTGCGCTGCAAATTTCATTGCGAACGCAGGAATAATTGTTTCAGAGTCAGCATGCTGCTGCCCCATTTCATCCTCAAGCACTGACTCATCTCCACCATAAACATGTGTAATGTCTTCGTCTATCCCCGGCAAAATGCATGGTGGGGACCCAGTATGGTGGCTTGTGCTTGCATAATCATATCGATCCGCCTGTGGAACCGGTGGGGTTGGGGTTGGACTTTGGGTTTGTGGGAGCGCCTCAACCACCCGCGACAACATTTCTTCCAGCTTCGATAGTCGGGTATCATAATCCGCTGTACTACTAATAGTAGCGGGCAGTGATTTCTCTTTTGTCTTTTTGGTCGATCTCAAAGTCACTTTCTTTTTCCCCGTATCTCTCGCGGAACCTTTTGGTTCATGCTGCGGTTTGTTGAGCGTGGTGGTCGCGGGGTGCTTGGACCCATGGTGCGATACCGCTTCCTGGAGTTCGGTGTGAGAGTCCCTGTCCTTGCCCGCTGTATCCGCGGGAATCGGAGTGGCCGATGCCATGACTAAAAGGTAGTTGAAACTCGAAAAAAGGTCCGACAAAGTCCAAAATGATCCAAAATGAAGGCAAACGTAAGATGACAATTGACATCCGCCGAAAAAACACAAATTTCCCCGGAAACGATCGTCGAAATTTCCCAATATTATTGATTGCGTGAAAGAGTTGTCTTCCAAAATGGCGACGTAGCGATAATGATTGCACATGGTTGAAGCGGGCTCTCAATTAGTCTCTTCACGAGACTCACGAAGTAAAATCATCTTTTAAACTTAATACCAGCTTTTATTTGTTTACTCTCATATTGAAAATCTAGATCAGTTGAGGTACCTTCAGAAGAAATTTGATCACTATACTTTCTGGACTTCCTCTGCACAGAACAATGGCTTGGTATAATGGAGAAATGAATATTTGGTAAACTTACAAGCCCCAGCCGCCATCAGGGCACTGAACTGATCGAAGGTAACGCACCATCTCCTTCTTGGACGCATCAGGGAGGACTACACCGGTTATGAAACACACGATGACTAAACCTGTAGCGTAAGATAGAAAATGAAAACATGTCTTTGCTTCAATCTATGCACGGTTGTAATATGATACACTGTTAACATCACAGAACTATCACTACTGAAGGGCTTACTTAGAACCATCGGGTCACTGCGTAAGAAACCTTACCCGCCCTTTTTAGAAAACATGCAAAATATGGGGATTAATGTCTTGTGAAATAAACCCCTCTTGCTTTCTCTTTGTGAAAATACTTTACCATCCTGTCATAGTTTCTTTCATAACTATTTCATTACTGGTAATCATTTCTAAAACTTGCTAGCATGTACACCAATATCTTGTTGAAGTATCATTCAAAGGGGACATATTTTACATATTTTCGTGGCAAAAATCAACATTGACTACATGTATTTATATTTTTATATTACTCAGAAATGGAGAACCCCTACTTAAAATACACACAGTTTATAATTAAATTATTCATACCCTTACCAACTTTTGTAAATGTTAAAGTATGCGAAAAATTGATATGTCCCAATTTCCCTTTCTTAAGAAGGTGGCGTATTAAAGCTTACATCTAATACAGAGCTGCAAACCTTGTGCGACCAATAAAAGGAATTAAAGCAAAAAAAGGAATTCATTTAAAACAAAACTTACGACCACGCGCGAGACACTTCCAATGCAGGAATCTCCATTCCTCATGCAGTTTTTTCTCATATTAGGACGTTTCATTCTTTTTGAGGATATTTTTCTCTTCTAGTATGTTTTAACCTTTCTATTGAATTTGTGATCAAATCAACATTTTAGGGCAGTTGTTTGACGTGCAGTATGTAAGAAAAAAAGAAAAGAAAAAAAAAGAGAAAAATTCCAGGAAAAACGTAATGGTTGGCAGCTCTGCCAATAGTATTCAAGGCCGGCCATAATTCAACCAGTGAAGGATGAAAAATACAAAGAACATCAAATTTACAAGGAGTATGTATAATTCTGTCGTTAACTGTATGAATACCTGGTAGAAGAAAGAGTGGACCACCGTAATCGCCCGCCCAATGACCATCTTCTGTTTGTAGCTTGGAGTAAAACTTCATACCATTCTTAGCAGCTTCTTCAGCAGTCTTAGCTCTGGGTAGTGGTGGGGCTTCATCATCCTATGTTTCAAACACAAAATATGTTATGTAATATGAATACAAGGCTTTATCATCCTATGTTTCAAACACAAAATACATTATGTAATATTCATATTCATATTTATTTCATTTCCAACAGAAAGTTAAACAAAGATATTACATTTGATTTCATACATAATTCATTTTTTCAAGAAACTATACAAATAAACTTTGCACATAATAAAATTATTACAAGAATTTCTTAATTTCTGAGGAAATGGGGGGTGGGGGGATCCACTATAAAGCAGTGCTTGTAGTTTGTGGATCCCCCAGAAAAAAATAAAAATACAAATGTTTCAAGTTTTGCCTACAAAGACTTAGAAAACACAAGACAATATTTCAAAACAACATACAATTTACAAACACAAAACGAACAAGGAGAAGTAAAACAGATAAGAAGGAAAAGGGAAAAGGGGGAAGGATGAAGAAGCAGGACAAATCATGACCGGAAAAAAAGTAACTTATAATGTTAATTTTGGGAAGGTAAGATCATAAGACCAAATAAATATTAAATTAATTGAGCAGATGATGAAGACCTAAATGAAAAATTAAGATGATTACCAACTGTTATAAGATTATTCTTGTATATTGATATAAGATTTGAGCAAAAATGTTTTTAGATTTTTCTTGAAAGAATTTAGGGATTAGAGTCCTGAATATGAGTATAAGAGTCCTCAATTCAATCAGCCATTTTCGTAATGTAATCAAATTTAATGCGCAAATCTTTGTTAAAAGTGCCTTATTACAACTTATTTCTTTCACCTTTTACAAGTATTTGTATTCCAATAGTCAGAATGTGAAATGCATGTATACATTAATTATTGATGGGTTTATTTCTACTACACTGTCTACATGTACTTGTAGATGGCTATATAACTCTGTCTCACAAAAAAAAAGCCTTATTGTTTAATTTAAATATCACCTCATGAAATTCCAAATATAATGGGATAATAAAACAATTTCTGATCTAGTAAGGACTGATATATACATGTACTGTATACCTGCAATCGAAAGACAAATAATCAAAATATCTTACAATGTTTAGTCCAAGGGAGAACTTTTCAACAAAATTTTGTGGACGTCCAGGTTCTTCCCCTTCTGGGTAGTATTGCCAAGTTTGACGACCGTTCGTATTAGTGAGCCGCCATCTTGACAGATCAGTGGCAGGTGTAGTCTTGTATGGACCTCCTCGATTCTTCTTTTCAGACATGACTGGCTCTGTATTGGGTAAAAGATAAAGAGGAAAAACTATTCATTAATCACAATTCTTCACAAATTGCTAAAGCAATGACCTTGAGTGACCGCTACACGACCATCGACCTACAGTTGTTGAGGAGGTGTAAAGATCCTGTATCCAAGGATAACTTCATCCAAATTGTATCCATCATACAGGTAGGCGACGCTAAACTAAAGTCAATTCACTTTAATTTGTAATAATCTAATGACCCTAATATATGACCTTTGACATATGGAATCAGGACCCAGTTTCATAAACCTTTTTATCAATGAAACATGTTACAATAACTGTTATGAGGTACCGGTACTGAAACTGTGGCCTCTAATTGGCTGAAAGCTAATTTGTCATAGAATATTAGCATAAATTTGTTATTGATAAAAAATATTATGAAACAGGAAAATTGTGTCTTATTTCTCAAGGGTAAGGTTCTCAAGCTGCTATACCGATCATTAAAACAGAGTAAATAGCGACAGGGTAATTTTTTGTTGAATGCAATAATGCAGACCCATTTCAATCATTTAAGTAAATCACAACATACCTATAGCTGCCCGTATATAACTTACACTGGGTAACTCATATGTGTACAAGTAATGTTAGAACTCCACACATGACTTACATACACTGAGTAAACAGTCTGTTACATAATGTATTAAATTTTCCATTTTTTCCCCCTAATGAACTTCTTGCTATATCAGTGGGGTTAATTGGGACATTGTACAATGCACCCATAGTACTGTCATTACCAGGCACCTCAAGAACTTTGACTCCCTTTTCAGCATAGTTGGGCAAACAAAATTTGATAAGTTATTTGATGATATCATCCAAAGATAATCTAGACATGTTTGCATATATGCTGTAATCAATCAAATACTTTTCACTAAATAGGGACATTGAGGAATAATGAACAACTTAAATTCATTTGTCCCAATTTATGTTTCTTGCAAATGTGACATATTAAAGCTCACATCTAAAAGTATTCATCAAAGACCCTCATTCAACCAGTCCATCTTTCATTCTTGAGTAATGACAACACACACCCCCCCCCCCAAAAAAAAAAAAAAAAAAAAAAAATGTTATAGTCATTTTGTATGTTACTTGGAATAAATCAGAAAGTTGTCCGCAACTACATCACAGAGACGTTTCCGAGTAAGCCAATTTGATGAGCCCATACCTTAGTGATTATAACTTTAAAATATTAATAACTAATTTCTCCTTTTAATTTGGTTTGATTTCATTCAAAATTTCACCAGTCTACTTCTCTGATTTTTCTGCTTTCCAATATTTTGGAGTAAATTGCTATGAAGGGAGCACGCACGGAGTTTGCTGAATTTAGCAAACTTTCTGCGCGCTTACCCTTTTAACAGTAACTCACTGCTATTTTCGTAAAGTAATTATCAAATTGGCAACGCAGAAACATTTTTTATTTTTTGGTGTAGACTAGATCTACATGCACTGGGTGTATATTTGCATTTCAGGCAGGATCAACATCTCAAACTATACAATAAGTACAAAAGAGGTCAGCGTATTAGAAATTGTAAATCGCATGCTATAGCTCGTCATCAGGAACACATAAATTATAAGCGAATCACTCGATCAATCTTCACATTAAAAAAAAAATCTTGACCAATTCCACAGTGCTTTGTACGAGAAGAAAGACTATCCAACTCCGACTCCGAGGCCGAGGCTGCCGGCTGCAGTGTGCAACTGCAAGGTTTGTTGGGTGCAGAAGGGCGATTAAAAACGCATTTTGATTTAATTTTGGCCCTTAATTTTTCAACCTTTGGCCTTAAGTCTCGGTTTTACTCGCCAGCTTCAGCATGAGCGAGCGATGTAGGTCTAGGCCCCTATAAGGCTATATATTTATCATAATTAGTCTAGAGGGATCTATCCACAGTTATGATTCAAGGGTGTTGGGGGTGTTGGGGTGCATAGGGACACTAGACTAGTTTTATTATTTAAAATAAAAGTCAAAAGCCATGGCCATGATTGGCATGAAAAGGTGAACTGAAAAGCATCTAGACGAATTAGGGGTCTAGTCCCTATAGTATAGTCTATAGACTAGATCTAGGCCTAGATCTAGCCCTAGAAAAGTCTACTTAGAATCTATTATACTTTTATAGGCACCAAGGAGCTAGAAAATATAATAGGAGCAATGTATACCACGAATATCAGATATTTATATGGTTAGCAACGTACCTTTTAAATTTTCTTGAAGATGTAGACTGTACACTCGCTTGAGTTACACTTTACAGTTCAAATAGCCTGGCCAGACACGAGCGATATGCATACAGAACAGCTGTAGATCTACGTACGGTATACCGTACTTGCACTGTAGCTGTGTTTACAGTTCAAAATGATACAACCACTCGGTCCAATATATATATCCCTGGATCCGGTGCGCGTGCGCTAGCGGTCCCCGCATATCGTACCATATCCATCGGAACACTTTTGCCAAATTGCTCTTGCGCCCTCTGTAGGGATATGCTCGTGCAGATTAATGTCGTGTTTTTATGTAGGCTATTTTTTGCCAGAGGAAATGTATCATCAGGAACATCTTCCTGGTATCAGTGAACCTTTAACTCCTTGCCGAGACTGATCGTTTTCATTTCATGACATTTTAACAACATTATCTTGTTACATGTATTTTGTGATTCTTGTCAATTTATTTGTAATTTTTCGTTTTTTGGTTTTGTATAATTTTCAAAATGTTATGTGTTGAACTACTTTTATTTACAAAACAAAATTTGTTAACCTGTTCATCAGGCGCGGATCCAGGATTTTCCAATAAGGGGGGGGGGGGGGGGGGGGGGCCGGAAATTTGAAAATTGCGCAGACCGTTCTTCAACTCAACATACCAAAACTGACAATGTCATATTAGAAGCACCATATGTAATTTTTTTTGACAATTTCATCGGGGGGGGGGGGGGGGGGGGCTGAAGCCTCTCGCCCGAAAAGTAATTTTCTGGTTTCACAATGCGAACGAGCAAAAATTTGAGGATAATATGTATTTTGTGAAAGTGTTATTTATTAGCAAAATATACGAGAAAAGATATAACAAATTCATATTCGGGCGGCTCGCTGTTCCCCTCCCCCCTCCCCCCCCCCCCCCCCCCCCCCCCCCCCCCCCCATTACGCGCGAAGCGCGGAAGTTTTGATCTTTCATTAATTGATATTAGAGAAAGAAGACGATTTGTTGTACCATTCTCGACTCTTATTCCTTGTCTGAACTCAGTTTTCCCCCTCCCGCGCGAAGCATTGACCTTTCATAGTTTAATGAAATTATTAGAGAAAGAAGATAATTCGTTGTTCCATTCTCGACCCTCAATCCTTCTCTGAATTTAGATTCCCCCCTCCAGCGCAAAGCGCAGAAGCTTAACGTTTCATTAAATTATTAGAGAAAGAAGACGATTCGTTGTACCGTTCTCGATTCTTAATCATTGTCTGAATTCAGTTTCCATACCCCCCCTCCCGCGCGAAGCGCGGAAGCTTTGACGTTTCATTAAATCATTAGAGAAAGAGTACCGTTCTCGACTCTTAATCCTTGTCTGAATTGAGTCCCTCCCCCTCTCCAGCGCGAAGCGCGGAAGCTTTGACGTTTCATCAAATTATTAGAGAAAGAAGACGATTCGTTGTACCGTTCTCGATTCTTAATCATTGTCTGAATTCGGTTTCCAACTTTCCATACCCCCTCCCGCGCGAGGCGCGGAAGCTTTGACGCTTCATTAAATCATTAGAGAAAGAGTACCGTTCTCGACTCTTAATCCTTGTCTGAATTGAGTTCCCCCCCCCCCCCTCTCCCGCGCGAAGCGCAGAAGCTTAACGTTTCATTAAATTATTAGAGAAAGAAGACGATTCGTTGTACCATTCTCGACTCTTAATCCTTGTCTGGATTCAGCCCCCCCCCCCCCCCCCTCCCGCGCGAAGCACGGAAGCTTCTGACGCTTCATTAAATTATTAGAGAAAGAAGATGATTCGGTGTCCCATTCTCGATTCTTAATCCTTGTTCGAATTCATTTTCCCCCTTCCGCGCGAGGCGCGGAAGCTTTGACCTTTCATAGTTTAATGAAATTATTAGAGAAAGAAAATAATTCGTTGTTCCATTCCCGACTCTTAATCCTTCTCTGAATTCAGTTTCCCCCTCCAGCGCAAAGCGCAGAAGCTTAATGTTTCATTGAATTATTAGAGAAAGAAGATGATTTGTTGTACCGTTTTAGTCAAAAATGTTTCTTTGTCTGCCCCTTTTTTTCGTCCTATGTCCTCATACTGCCCCTAGCATACAATTAGGTCAGTAGAAATGAAAGGGGAAAAAAGATCTATTTATACACCAACCATGAAATAATCGCAACCGGGAGCGTCATATCTTAGTTTTGTGTTATCGGGCGAGGGCCGGGGCGTATAGCGACCAAGCGAGAATTTGCAATGTAGAATGCTGAAATTATGCATTCTAGAAAATCCTTTAGACCAATATGTACGTTCTTTCCGCTACATGTATATTTCTTTCTAGCTAAATATCTAAGTTTCCGGGGGGACGTTTCCCTCTATCGGGCCCAAAATCGCCGCCGCTGTTCATTATCACTACCAACATGAGTTCAAATATAAGCACAAGCGAGTTGGTATGAGCTGAATCCAAATGAAGGGCAAAATAAGAGTTGTGAAGCGGCCCTACCGTTAATTTAAAATTTGACTGTTTAGTATATAGCTTCTATTTGAAAGACATCCAAAATATTGTGCCCTTTCAATTTTTTTCAAAAAGCAGGGGCTGTTTGTAACGTTTAACTTTGAATCCGTGGCTCGAGATTTTATGCGGCCGGCCCGGCCCCCTCTATTCAATAACGTTTTCCAAGCCTTCTGGAATGACCCCAAATCTCCCGATTACAGTTTTTCCTTAATATTCGTCGTTACTGTCACTTAGCGCCATTTCCTTGTCTTTCCCCCTTTCTCACCCGACTTTTTTCTTCCCCTTCCCACCTCCCCCCCCCCCCCCCCCCCCCCCCCCCCCCCCCCCTCCCCCAACCCATTCAGTGTTATCTAGGGTACGCGCATGTATGTTCCCTCTCTTAGTTTAAAAGCACCCCTTTATCTTCGGTGTGTAAAGTCAGTGCGGGCCGGATTTGTGTGTATTACGGGCCGGACTTTGTTGCGTGAAAAGTAACCCTTTATCGGAAATTTTGGGAACACAAAATCGGTCCCTCCGACCCGGAGTGGGAGTGAGGTGGGGGGGGGGGGTATCTTCTTCTTTTTTCTTTCTCTCTCTCTTCTTTCTTTTCTCTTCTCTTTTCTTTTCTCTTCTCCTTTATTACATAACAAACGAATCAAAATTATGATATTTAATACACCTACTTTATTTTCAACTACTCTATCAAAATAAACAATTATATTACATTATAGATTATATATTGTAATATGTGGGTTTTTTCCCTATCCATCTATTAGTTTAAATGTTTAAATTTACACTTTTGTATATGTAAAAGTCAAAAAATTCTTTTTTTTTTAATTATCAAAGACATTTTTACTGATAAGATTTACGTTTTTTGAAGTTTGGGATGCTGTAATTCACTAATCAAGCTGGATTAGTGGGACATTTTAAGAATATGTAATATATGTTCGCTTTGTTTAAGGTGCGGGTTCATAGAAAATCACAAATATCCATAATGGTAAATAGCGTATTACTAGAAACTGGTAAGCTAACAGATGGCCATCATGCAAGTTTTAGGTCAACTTCATATCGGGTGATTTATAAAAATACAAATAAAACAACCTCCATAGCATGTGGGATATGCGAGAGATTCGCCGGCAAAATAACGATGTTTTAATGCCGTCACAATATGAACCAACCCTACCCACAGGCGCGGATCCAGGATTTCTTAGGGGTGGGGCCCAAATTTGAAATTTAGTGTGCTGAAATTTGAAAATCGTGCCGGCCAATATTTCGCTCAGTGGGGGGGGGGCATATCTCCCCCCAAAAAGTAAAATTAACGTGTTTTTACACGTTTTTTCCCCAGGGCGGAGGTTCCCTCAGAAGCTCAGGGGTTTTATACATTAAATTATCGTCAGATGTTCATATTTTATACCTTATGGCAGGTGGCACGGTCACGAATTGGTGTGGGGTCCAGGGGACGGAGCCCCCGGAAGCTCAGGGGTTTGGGGCAATAAATAGCGGTCAGATGAGCATATTTTTATATCTATTTGTGACACTGGCAGAACACAAATTGGTGTTGGGTCCAGGGGCGGAGCCCAAAGAAGCTCAGGGGTTTTATACATCAAATTATCGTCGGATGAGCATAATTTTATACCTTATTTGTTACACTGGCAGGGCACAAATTGGTGTTGGGTCAAGGGGCGGAGCCCTCAGAAGTTCAGGGGTTTATACATCAATTCATCGTTAGATGAGCATAATTTTATACCTTATTTGTGACACTGGCAGGTCACAAATTGGTGTTGGGTCAAGGGGCGGAGCCCTCAGAAGTTCAGGGGTTTATACATCAATTCATCGTTAGATGAGCATAATTTTATACCTTATTTGTGACACTGGCAGGTCACGAATTGGTGTGGGGTCTAGGGGGCGCAGCCCCCGGAAGCTCAGGGGTTTTGGGCAATAAATTACGGTCAGATGAGCATATTTGTATACCTTATTTGTGACACTGGCAGGTCACGAATTGGCGTGGGGTCCAGGAGGTGGAGCCCCCGGAGGCTCAAGGGTGTTAGACAATAGATTACAGTCAGATGAACATCCAGGGGCCCGCCTTCGGGCCATTGGTTGGGTTCGGAGGGCAGAGACCCGGAAGCTCAGGGCTTTAGGCATTTAATTACGTCAGATGAGCATAATTATACCTTATTTGTGACACTGGCAGGTAATTTATTGGCGTGGGGTCCTGGGGGCGGAGCCCCAGAAGCTCAGGAGTCTTAGGAATTTTATAACGATCAGACAAGCATGTAGGGGGCCCACCTTAGGGCCACTGATGGGTTCGAGGGGGTGGAGCCCCGGAAACTTAGGGGTTATAGGCATTTAATTACGGTCAGATGAACATATTTTGATACCTTATTTGTGACACTGGCACGACACTAATTGGCGTGAGGTCCAGGGGGCCGAGACCCCAGAAGCTCAGTGGTTTTAAGCATTAAATTACCATCAGATTAGCATCCAGCCGTCCGCCTTAGGGCCCTAGGTGGGGTTCAGGGGGCAGAGCCAACGGAAGTCAAGGGGTGTTAGGAACTTAATTACGGTTAGATAAGCATATTTTGATACCTTTGATTTCTTTACCCTTTTATTTCCTTTTTTCCCCTTTTTTCCCCCTTCCCCCTTTTTTTTCCTTCTTTTTTTGCCAGG